ACCAATCTCTATCCAGCTTGCCTTCTTCTCTTCACTTTTCAGTTTTCCCATAGTTGCCATTTGTATTTTGTCTAGAATTTTAGTTTTAATTAGCAGAAGAAATTCAGGGGTGTATTTATTTCATCTTTTCTAGAACCAGAAGTCTTCCTAGGTCCTTTTTAAAAAACATCATTATGTTCAGTAGAATTGCTCGTTAATATAATTTAGACCTTAAATATTCCTTACAGTAGTAAATTGTTGAACACACTGAGCTTTAACACTTTTTAGAAACTATTTCACTTGAATGATACTCAAGTAAAGTTTAAATAACATGAATCTTTTTGAAGGAAATATAAAATCGTTATTTCATTGTCAGAATATGAAGTGAAGGGGACATCTGTCAACTGAAGTAAGCATTAATATCAAGAAAATTAGGTTCTGGGAAAAGTTGTGGTTATTTTATTAAAATGAATAATCCTTTATTTTCAAGGAGCAAATTTTAGATATAAAATTCACTAGAACATCTTTTCTATATACTTATGTATTTTTATTTTTGACTTTGCATTTATCCCTAAAATTGTTTGGGTAGTAATTCTGGTTGCATAGATGCACTGAATTGTACCCCAGCCTAGCTCCTATGTACAGTATTCATGGCATATATTGAGTGTTCAACAAACGTCAGGAAATAGACTGAGTGCTTATTTTATTATTGATTATACTTTTGAACCTTATTCCAAATATAATATTTAACAAAATCATTGTTTTTCACATTCACTTAATTAACACGTGTTACATGTCTTGTGTTCTGTGATAGGTGCAGACAAAAAAATAAAATGTGACCTTTGTCCTCATAGAATCCCCAAAAGAGAAACAAATATATTAACAAAATCTACAAATATAAGGGTTTGTAAATTGTTTAGGGAAAGACAAAGCAGAAGGCAGTAAATTCTACCACAGGAATTGTAGGGAGCTGGTAATCAGAAAAGATTTCACATTTGGGAGGCCGAGGTGGGTGGATCACGAGGTCAAGAGATCAAGACCATCCTGGTCAACATGGTGAAACCCCATCTCTACTAAAGATACAAAAAATTAGCTGAGCATGGTGGCACATGCCTGTAATCCCAGCTACTCAGGAGGCTGAGGCAGGAGAATTGCCTGAACCCAGGAGGCGGAGGTTGCGGTGAGCCGAGATCGCGCCATTGCACTCCAGCCTGGGTAACGAGAGCGAAACTCCGTCTCAAAAAAAAAAAAAAAAAAAAAAGATTTCACAACGGTGGGAAGAAGGTGGCAGGGTGCTGGGGATTACAAGGGAAGAAAAGGCCTGCTACTCTTGACTTTACATTCTCATTATTTTCCACCTCCTGGTCATGTCAGAGGAGATAGAGAAGAAGATTTTGGTATGGAATATGTCAAAGACACAAGAGCATTCCAAGTTTAAATTAATAATATATAACAAGAGGGTATCAAAAAGGTTTCTTAGGGGGACATCATCTATCCTTCACTGGATTTAGGCTTCTTGGGTAGTACTAATACTGTTTTCTGAGAAAAGAAGATTATGTATGGCAAAGCAGAGTATAAAGAGAAAGAAGACAGCATCCAGTTTTGTTCTGAAATGCCTATTGTACGTTCACGTGGACATACCTAGTGTCCACTCAAGGAAGAACTTGAGCCTTCAGATATAGATTTGGAAGCCACTCGGACAAAATAAAACAGGGGAGTGTATAAGGAAAAGAGAAAAAGTAAAGGACATCCTCTTGGGGAATAGCATGGCTTAGTGGAAATGGGAGTAAAAGGAGCAAGGAGAGAAAAAAGGGAGGTCGAACAGGTGGGAGGAAAAACAGGTGTAACCAGTGTCACTGAAATCAAGGGAGGTGAAATGTTAAAGGGGACAGAAACCACCAGAAGAGTCCAATGTCAGAGAGCAGACAAGTAGAATAAGGATTGCAGAATCCATTGACTTTGTCAATAGACAGTGTAAATAAACTGAGACTGGCTGCTTGCAGTGTAAAATGAGGTAAGAACATAGATATAATGTCTATAGACCCTTCATCAAGGATCTTGGCTAAGATGGGAAAAAGACAGATAAAGAGGGAGTCTATTGGCAAGTAAACAGAAAGAAGGAACAGCATCAGGAGGAAGAATTGCTGATGGAGCAAGATTTTAGCAGAGATAAAAGCACATGAAGAATGATTAGCCTTGAATAGGATCCCGTGAACCCCTGAGACCAGAAGAAAGAAAAAGTCAGAACTTGTGTTTAAAATGATTACTGTCTTTTAAAAAATAGTCTCTTTGAAATGTTATAGAATTTAAATTTTGACTCAGTTGCTTAAAAGGTTTTAGGAATACTCATCTCTTAACTTTACACTTAGAGATGGATGAATTTTACACCTCCCCCCACCACACACACAAGTTTTCTTGTTTAAATGTAGGAATGACTTTTGGAAATTGCCCAAAGTTATTTTAAATCATGTGTGTTGAACCAGGCAAGCTGGTGGATAATCCTTTGGTGTAAAATGTTTTCTGGAATGGATGTATTAACTGGCACAAAAATAAACTTTAAAAAGAGAGTCCCCAAATGTTTGTTGTTAACAAAATATTCAATAAGTTCATGGCCTTTTTAGTTCAATACTTTTATGCATTATGTCAACAAAAATGTATAAAAATTCCACTGTGTGTCAGGCATTAAGTTAGAGAGTACTTTTATGAACAGGACTCAATTGGACATATTCTTATAAATTTGTTATTATTGTTGCCTAGATTTATATAACAATACATGCTAACTTAATATAACCACACATACTTCTCTCATTAAAACTAGTTAAAGGTAAAATCTGGCTTAATGTTTTAAACTCTTCCAATAATTGTATTACTATTGGTTCTAAAGCATTTGAGCATAATTTTCACTGACTTAATTTACAATTATATATACTAACAAAATAATTCAGCTGAATGAAGGGAGTTCTAAAGTAGCATAATATACGCTGAATAAAGAATCCTGGGTTCCCTGAACTTAACATCACTTATATATCTCATTAGAAGTCCAGAAATATCAACCACATATAGAAAATGGCCTGACCTTAAGATGCATAGTAAATTTTCCCATAATCTCATTATGTCTATGACGATGCTTCACATCATTATAATAGTGCCCCAACTTTTATATCACAGTTTCTCTAAGTGTGTTCAGGTGGTGAATCTGCATTTTTCACAAGTTTTCCAGGTGATATTTGTGCAGCATAATATTTGAGAATCACTGCTAAAAGAGTTTGAAATTGCTGGACAAGTGTAATGAAAAAAAAAAAAAAACCTTTGTGTCCACCAGAGACAATATGCTTTGATATTGAAGAACTATGCCTAAGTGGTCAGGTACGGCAGTGGGACAGGCAGGCAGCACAGTGTATTGCCAAGAGTATTGATTTCGGGTCAAGCAGATGTGAGGTGGACCCCTGTTCACTTGTTTCTAGCCTGTGTGCTTAAGAGCCATGATTTAACTTCTTTGGTTTTACATTTTCTCAGCTGTATAATGCTGGGAGTCATTTCCTCATAAATTTACTGAGGGGATTAAATGGGAATAGAAGTACAGTGAACATCTTTTTTTTTTTCCATCTCTTTGTTGAACCTATATTCATTTCCCTACCTAGTCTCTATTCTAGAGGTTCAATCTCAGACACCTTTAAGATTAGGCCCATGGGGAATACAAATGACCTAAGTAGTCAGGAAAAGACCATAGAAAATTAGGGAAACTGTGGTGAACTGCAGAATGTATACTCCACCTACGGGCATTCTAATAAAAAAAATTAAATAAATCACTGCAGGTCAAACAAAACCCATCTGCTAATCAAACCAGACACATGACAGTTTCCATTCTCTACCCTACACCTGTAAACTCAGATCACTTGTTATAAACCATCTGCCTCTTAATCGTCATGTTAAACATTCTCCACTTCCTGAACTAAGTAGGTAAACTTTAGCTCCATAACCATGGATTTAGTTCCATTCTCCTGGCTTTCTTTTCAGGTGTACTGGAGAATGGGCCTTAGTTAGCACAAGAACACTTTTTCCTTGATGCAGAGTTTCACTAAGTGTTGAGGCCTCTCCGTTCTTATTCTGCTCAACTTCCCATGTGCTTGAGTGTGGAGAATAGCACGGTCACAATAAAGGTTGAGAGCATATCAGATCATCCCTCTATTCTAGCTAGCGTAACTTATTTCATTGTTTTCCAGATTCTAAAACAAAGGGACTAATGGAGGAAACCTGATATCCACAGGCAAGTAGATAAAGACGTTTATTTAATTACATCAAATAAACCCGAGTTTTATACCCAGCTTCATAACTTAGCTTCACCAACTTCAGCCAACTCTCTGTCTTTCAGCTTCAATTCCCATGCTGCAAAATCAACACAATAATTCTTAGTGGTATTGTTTTGGTGAAAAATGAGATACTGTTTATAAAGCTTTTTGTACCACACAAGTACTCAGCCCTGCTTTTTGAAGTCTTGCTAGGTATTTAGCTAATGTATTTACACATAGGATCAATCTTAACGGAGCCAATTCTAACCACTTAGCAAGTCTTATCACCAAAGTTTTTTTTTTTTTTCTCAAATAAGCAACTGGGTGGGCTGGTGGTATCCAGTGCTAGGTTTGAGCACAGATGTGTAATACTTCAGGGATGAAGTTTATTGGCTTGCGGTCTTTGGTAGAGAGAAAGCACCGTTTAGGAATTCTGAGTCAGTCGTGGATTAGGCTGTAGTTGACCTACCAAATCTAAATTAAGGCAAGGTAAAGAAGAAAATCGAGAACAAAGTCAAATTCTCATAGCTTAAAGGGTAGATGTGTCAAAAGTTATGGCAGAGAAATACTCTTGACCAAAGAACAGGAATCTTGGAGCAAAGGTAGAGTTTACATCTTTAGGAAAACATCCTATGAGTATGTTCAAATGTAGCTGAGTTGAATACTCATTGGTATAGAATTCAGACCCAAATTCTTATTCATTATGATGTCAGCTCAGAGACCAGCCAGCCAGCCTACTTGTCTGTCCATTCTGCCTTCAGTCACAGGCTCTACTCTTGTCTCCATGTAACTGTCTAACTGAAACAACTCAAGCTTCACAATATCCATTGCTTTCTATGTTTATTTGCTTCTCTGGTTTCCTCCTGATGGTAAGGATCTACCTCACCCTAGCGGATTTTCTTTTAAGAAACCCTGGATTCTCTTTCTCCTGACCACAGGCTATTGTCCCAGGCCTTTTGCATTGCTTCTAACCCTGTCTTTTTCAGTCTACATGGATGCCTGTTTAAGATGCATGTGTTACCACTCCTTTTATACACTTATGCTTCTTACTTGGGTCAGAAAATGCCTTTGAGTGAATAAATCAATCCAGCCTAGGCCATTTCTTGATATTTGGACTTCTTCATTCTAATGCTGTTCACCTCTCCTTAGTCTAAACCCATAAATTACCTCCTTTATACCCTTCTCCTGGAGTAGCTGTGAATACTCCAATTAAAAGGCATTCAGTGAAATTTATGGAAGCTTCCTTCTGTCTTCTAATCCTCATTCTCTAATTCTACCTTACATCTGGAAGTTGAGGGTTCGATGTGACTAAGTTTTCAAATTATCTTTCCTACGGATTTTGAAATATGTCAACAAGATCAAACATACTTAAAGAAATGTAATTGTTCCCCAAACCTATGCTAATTATGTTTCTTTGGGCCTTCCTCTCAGGAACACAAGAAGAAAATTCCATTTTTAAGGAATAGAAACAAGTATGTATAGCAGGTAATGAATACCATATATTACTTGGGTAATATAGAAAACCACAGTGCTACATAATACTCTAATATAAATAACAACTTTCTGGGCGACATGGAGGAAGGAATATCTGCTTTAAAAGATCTCAAGTTTCTAGATTCCAAAATAAATCAGGAAGAGATAATCTTTTGAATTACAAAAGATTAACTTGAATAAGGACAGTTTTCATCACAGTTCCTTAAAACAGTAAACCACCAAAATTCATATGAAAATATAGTTTTGATTTTCAACTGTCAATATTATATCTTTTCTAAAATACAACGCTTGTATGAAGAACATAATTCTCCTAAAACATTATATAAGCCACAAATAGAACTCCCTGAATATTAGATACACAACTAAACTTCAAACCTATCGGAAAATTATGCTAACTTCCTAGTCACGCTGCACTGTCTACTTTCAGAATAGAGATCATTACTTGATTTTGTTTTTCCTTTCTAGACTGTCTCTTGCTTCTTCCTAGGTGAAAAAAAATGCAGAAACACAATTCTGTTTTGTTTTGTTTGTGTTCAGACTCATGGCTAAGGTTTTGCTAAAAGGTACATTTGGAGTAGAAAAATAACATGAAAATAAGTAGAAACTGCTGGAAACATGCATTTACAGAAACAAAATTTATCATAGAATAAAATTTAACGTCACAGATAATGTGAATATATACATTTAAATTCTGATGTGACAACAATATAATTAAATCACTTTTGCTATAATTTGTTATTGTATATTATAAACAAAAACAAATCTGAAAAACAAATCTCACTCATCTATACACACCAAAAATCAGCATATGTTTCAGAGCTGCATTCTAATGTACTTACTGAAGAAAAAATGTTCATAATCTGATGAAGAACATTTGTGATAATATTTAAATGGTCAGTGTGTTAAATCAAGGTTATGCTTAATGTAGATTTGCCTTTAATAAATGAACAATAAAACTGTTTAATATTCTCATTGTTATGTTTTTTTAATTTCAAATTTTTTTATTATTATACTTGAAGTTCTGGGATACATGTGCAGAATGTGCAGGTTTGTTGCATAGGTATACATGTGCCATGGTGGTTTGCTACACCCATCAACCTGTCCTCTACATTAGGTATTTCTACTAATGCTATCTCTCCCATAGCCCACCACTTCCTCAAAGGCCCCAGTATGTGATGTTCCTCTACCTACCTGTGTCCATGTGCTCTCGTGGTTCAACTCCCACTTATGGGTGAGAACATGTGGCATTTAGTTTTCTGTTCCCGTGTTAGTTTGCTGAGAATGATGGTTTCCAGCTTCATTTATGTCCCTGCAAATGACGTGAACACATCCTTTTTTATGGCTGCATTGTATTCTATGGTGTATATGTGCTACATTTTCTTTATCTAATAATATGCCTATCATTGATGGTCATTTAGGTTGGCTCTAAGTCTTTGCTATTGTGAATAGTGCCATGATAAACATATGTGTGCATGTGTCTTTATAGTAGAATGATTTATAATCCTTTGAATATATACCCAGTAATAGGATTGCTGGGTCAAATTGTATTTCTGGTTCTAGATACTTGAGGAATCGTCACACTGTCTTCCACAATGGTTGAACTGTTTAGACTCCCACCAACAGTGTAAAAGCATTCCTGTTTCTCCACATTCTCTCCAGTACTGTTGTTTCCTGATAGATTGCCACTCTAACTGACATGAGACGGTATCTCATTTTGGTTTTTATTTGCATTTCTCTAATGACCAGTGATGACGAGCTTTTTTTCATATGTTTATTGACTGCATAAATGTCTTCTTATTTTGTAACATAAATATAGGAGAAATCTTCAGACAAGAATTATCAGAAAGAGATTTATTTTAAGATAGACACTGTAATGCAGATTTATGCTTTCCAACAATAACATTGTGTAAATTAATTAGAATCAACCTCTTCATTTTAGCCTGTGAAATAACTTTGTGTCTTTTTCATGAAAATACTACTTTTTGGCATTTATATGTTAATTCAAGCAAGAAGATGTAATAATGCATGCAAAAACAAGATTTGAATCAGTGGCCATAATTATACCAGGTGTATTTATATTATTTATGTCTCTTTGAATGTGACTTATCATGTGTAGGTTTTGTGCACTAATTACTTCATGTTTTCTATAGATTTTGTTAGTTTTAGAAATATTTGTTTTTAATTAAATATTCTATTTAATTCATCCAAGAAAACCTACACCTGAAGACGTGATATAATCTTATTGTTGATAGCAAATGAGTTTCAGTATTTGTTATAAAATGCATGACACAGTATTGAGATCTGTGGGTAAGTTTGAAGTCTTTTTGCTTTCCAAAAATATGTATTCGGATGGCATATGAGCATTCTTTTTTTCTTGTCAATCATTCAAGATATCTGAAGAGTATTTTTCACATACTTCGTGTCTGAGGACAAGCCTTCTCCTAAGCAAGCTCAAGATTATGTCTCTTTATACTTCTGCAGTCAATTTATCATCAGTAAATTTCTGAGATAGATGATATTTAATGCCCATTACATAAATGATTAGCTTGGACTCAGAATCTTTAAGTGAGTCATACAGCTAGAAAATTGCAGAGATCAGTCTTGAATTCAGATCTTTCACAGAGAAGTTCATAGTTTTTCTTCTCTACTCTATGTTTAATATCTATAGTTGACTTCTCCATTGCCCCACTCAGAGGGTCTGTTATGAGTCACACATGTAGATTTATTTTTTCCGTATATTATTTGGGCCAATCAAGATATTGAGTGAATCCATGTTGATGGAGCATGAACATGCCTACTGCTAAACTCATACAATAAATGTGTCTCTGTTTAGATATTAACAAATATTTATGTGAAGAAAGTTTGAAAATAATATCACATCTTGAAAATATTATAAGAACTTTCTATTCAATTCAATGAACATTAAATGAGCACTTACTATGGGCTTGAGACAATATATATGTACATATGTATAATATTGGTATTTCCTATAGAAATTTATTTTTTTATTTGCAATAAAAATATATCAACAACCAATATGCACATAAAAAGATGTTTAGCAATTTTAATGGTCTGGAAAATGCAAATTAAAACCATATAATGAAATATTCTTCACACTTGCTGGAACTGCCTAACCACTGGAAATATTGGTGCAGTTATGAATCAACATAAACTCTCATATGTCCAACAACTTTGAAAAACCACTTGATGAGTTTTAAAAAGTTAATCTTCCCTCTGAGGCAAGAATTCCTCTCCTAGTTTTTTTTACCAAAGAGGAATAAAAACGTATGTTTACGAAAAGATTGGTACAAAATATCTTAACAAATTTTATTTATAATAAACCAAACTAGGAAATAACTCAGATGTCCATAAATAGAAGTATATTCATGAAATACTGATAAAACTCAGTAACATTAATGAATCTCACATACATTGTGTTGAACTAAAGCCAGATATGAAAGACTTCAAACTGTATGACTTCAGTACACAACCGCCAGAACAGACACAACTAATATACAGGGATAGAAAACTAACAGTGGTTGAATGTGCTGGCAAAGGGGTTAAGTGGCTTGTAAGAGGCATGGAGAAACTTTCTGGATAACAGAAATGGTCTATATCTTGATTTGCATGTTGGTTACTTGGGTGTATCCATTTGCCAAAGCTCATCAAATTGTTCACATAAGATCTGTGCATTTCACTCTATGTAAGTTGTACCTCAATTTTTGAAAAGTAATCTTGTGGTAAATCCCTTTGCCTATAAAACGACCTGTTTGTAAGAAATTTCCACCTGTTTACTGAATGTTAATAATTTATTTTAAAATTAAATATTTGCTTATATTCAGGGGTACCAATTAGACAAATCTAGCTGAGCCATAAAGGTATGGATTTTCAACCTATTCCTTAATACTTTTGAGCTTGGCTTCAGAACAGAGCTTATTTGTTCATTTATATACGCATTCTTATATTTATGTTTACAAATGAGAAATAACCTGCCTCCACCTAGAAACTGCTTTTCCAGTAAATTGAGAATAGCATGTATTAAAAACTCATACCGGTTCCAAGCTATGATTTGTAACAACTGCTTCAAAATATTGAACTGTTATTTGTCAATTATTTCTAGATGTGATAAATTTGAAAAGGACTCTAGACCTCTGTGTTTAACTGCTGCTCCGTAAATGAATTGTCTGGGACAAGCACACAGCTCTTGAGCACTCTATGCAACACATGGGCTGTCATCCAGGGAGGCAAAGCAAGCTTCCCTACCTGAGCCCACTGTGTACCTTGCAGGTGACTTGAGAGGGCTCCACCCACTCTTTTTGTGAAGATGATTGTCCTAGTTTCCTGGAATGTTCAATCTATGGGCTCTGTGCAGAGCCTGCCAAAAGCACTGCAATTGGTTGTGCCAGTTGTGTTGGTGTTTTATGGCTCTCTTCATCTTTAATGATCTGTAGCCTCTCTCACCATGCAAGCTTCTGAATCTTGGCTCCCGCCCAGCTGCTCTATTGATTGGAAATTTGGCCAGCAAGCAAAATCTTTTGTTTGTTTTCAGGATTATTTTTATTATCTGGCTCCAGACAGGGAGCACAGAATGGGGTGGAGACTTCACAGAAATGAGGACATCCACTCCTCTGGTAGGACTCCTGAGAGCCTAAGACCAGTCATCTGGTGCTATAAAAGAACACTGCTCAAAGTTGTAAAGAGAATTCATATTTGCATTGTATTGATGGCAACAACAGCCTCTAGAGCAGAAGGTATTCTGCAGTTCAGAGAGTCAGGACTCTGGGGCACCCCTTTCCAGAGTCATCTACTGTGTAACAGCAGACACAGCTTTATAGAGGCCTGGCTTTATGTGTGTAAGGGGAGAAGAACCTCCCTATCCTGTTAGGGCTGGGAACCCAAACTCAAGTCTTCATTTCTTTAAGCTCTCTTGAAACTAAAAACTGAGTTTTCAAACCTGAGTGTCCCAGTCACCCTAGTAACTTGAAATGAAA